CCAAACAAAATAAATGAAAATCATAAAGACAAGAAATTCTTCAAAAAGAAAGTCTATATTGTTTGGGATGATAGTGACTCAAGTTCGGAGTCAAGCGATTCGAAATTGAAGCAAACATTTGTTTAATGGCAAATGACAACATCTCTTCCCATTGTGAGGTTAGTGATTCCGACTCTTCCTCAAGTGATGATGAAAATGATTATGATACTTTACAAAATGCATATGAAGAATTATTTACTACTTTTAAGGACTTGAAAAATGAATATAAATATGTGAAAAAGTGTTTGAATAAATCAGAAAAAGAGGTGGAATCCTTGAAAACGAAAATTGCATGTTTAGAGGAAAAAGATAATAAAGAAATAGCATGTGCATCATGTAAAGAGTATGAATATGATATTAATATACTTAGTCACTTGCTTGATAAAGCTAAGAAAGAATTAAATGATAGTTATAAGGATAAGGTTATTGTTCAAAATAGAGAAAACTGTCATGTTCCATTGAAAAAGCCTAAAAATAAAAATAGAAGAGTATGGGTTGAAAAAGGAACTAAAACTTCAAAAGATAAAAATGTATCATTTTCAAATATTACATCTAATGCATGCTTTTATTGTATGAAACATGGTCATACTTTAAATAGATGTAGAATTAAGCATTTTGGTGTTCCAAAAGGAAAATATGTTTGCGTTCCTATAGTGAAATAATTTGATTGTCTCTAACCCCAAGGACCCAAAAGTTATGGGGACCTAAGATTATTATGTTCTTGTTTTGTAGGAAACTTCCAAATCCAAGAAGTCTATGTGGTATCTTGACAGTGGATGTTCAAGACATATGACCGGAGACAAAACGAAATTTGTGAGTTTCAAAGCTAAAGAACAAGGATATGTAACCTATGGGGACAACAACAAAGGAAGAATCCTTGGAACCGGAAACATTGGTGGTGCAAATACTTTGGAGATAAAGGATGTTCTTCTTGTTGATGGGCTAAAGCATAATCTCCCAAGTATAAGTCAACTTTGTGATAAAGGATTCAAGGTAATTTTTTAAAGTAAGTTTTGCACCATTCATTTAAAGGATTCCGAAAATATAGCATTAAAAGGCATTAGGCATAATAATATCTATTTGATTGATTTGGATTGTGTATCTAACACTAGTATAACATGCTTAGTTGCTAAGGAAGAAAATTCATGGTTATGGCATAAGAGAGCAGCTCATATAAACATGCATCAATTAAACAAACTAATATCAAAGGACTTAGTTGTTGATTTGCCTAAGTTAAAATTTAAAAAAGATAGATTATGTGATGCATGTCAAAAAGGTAAACACGTGAAATCATCCTTTAAATCTAAGAATGTTATTTCCACATCAAAACCTTTAGAACTTTTACACTTACATTTATTTGGTCCATCTAGGATAAAAAGTTTTGGTGGAAATTACTATGCTCTTGTAATTATTGATGATTTTTCTAGATACACTTGGACATTTTTCTTAACTTTAAAAAGCGAAGCTTTTAAGGTCTTTAGGAAGTTTGCCAAGCATATTCAAAATGAGAAAGACTTAAGAATTAAGGTGTTAAGAAGTGACCATGGTGGAGAATTTCAAAATGAATACTTTGAAAATTATTGTGAAGAAAATGGTATTTTACATAATTTTTCTGCACCTAGAACTCCCCAACAAAATAGTGTAGTAGAAAGGAAAAATAGGTCACTAGAGAAACTTGCTAGAACAATGTTAAATGAATCAAATGTTCCTAAGTATTTTTGGGTTGATGTTGTAAGTACTCATGTTATGTATTGAATAGGATGCTTATTAGGCCAATTATAAAATCAACTCCTTATGAATTGTTAAATAATAGGAAGCCTAATGTTGCTCATTTAAAAATATTTGGATGTAAATGCTTTGTTTTAAATAATGGAAAATATAACTTAGGAAAATTTGACTCAAAAGTCTATGAGTCTATTTTCTTAGGTTATTCACTAACGAGCAAAGCATATAGAGTTTTCAATAGAAGAACTTTGAATATTGAAGAATATGTACATGTCACCTTTGATGAAATTATAGACCTTGAGGGAAATCCTCTTGAGTCAAATAAAGAATTTGCAGGTGATGATGAGTACATAAGAGAAGCTCTAGAAGAAATGTACTTACATGAGAATAAGCCATCTCAACCAACTGAATTGGCAAAAGAGTGGCAATCACCAAGAGGACTTTCAATGGACAATATAATTTGTGATATTTCAAAAGGGGTAAGAACTAAAAATATGAAAAAAATGTGTATGTCTGTAGCTTTTGTTTCACAGATTGAACCCAAAAGTGTTGAGGAAGCTCTTAAAGATGACCAATGGTGCATAGCAATGCAAGAAGAACTTAATCAATTTGAAAGAAATCAAGTCTGGGAATTAATTCCAAGAGAAGAATCTCATCAAGTGATTGGAACAAAATGGGTATTTAGAAACAAACTTGATGAAGATGGAAATATAACAAAGAACAAAGCCAGACTTGTTGCCAAAGGTTACTGTCAAGAGGAAGGTATTAATTATGATGAAACTTATGTTCTTATTGTCAAGTTAGAGGTTATACACCTACTTCTTGCTTATGCTTCATTGATGAAATTTAAACTTTATCAAATGGATGTTAAAAGTGCATTTTTGAATGGTTTTATCAAACAGGAAGTATATGTGGAACAACCCCCTGGATTTGAATATTTTAAATATCCAAATCACATTTTTAAATTGAAGAAAGCTTTATATGGTTTAAAACAAGCTCCTAGGTCTTGGTATGAAAGATTAAGTAGTTTTCTAATTTCAAATGACTTTTCTAGAGGAAAAATTAATTCCACCCTGTTTATTAAGAAAGTTAAGGAACATATTTTGTTAGTTCAAGTATATGTTGACGATATTATTTTTGGATCAACTAATAATTCCTTGTGTGAAGGATTTGCTAAGATTATGCAGGGTGAATTTGAAATATCAATGATGGGAGAATTAACATTCTTTCTTGGACTTCAAATTAAGCAACTTAAAGATGACACCTTTTTTTCTCAAACCAAATACTGCAAAGAGATTCTCAAGAAATTTGAAATGGAAACTTCAAAGGAAGCTAACACACCCATGGGAACATCATGCTATTTGGATAAAGATGAATCAGGTTTAGAAATTAATCTATCAATGTATAGAGGTATGATATGGTCTCTATTATACTTAACTGCAAGTAGACCTGATATTATGTATTTTGTTTGTGTGTGTGCTAGATTTCAAGCATGTCCAAAAGAATCTCATTTAACTGCAGTAAAACGAATCTTAAAATATTTAAAAGCAACTACAGAATTTGGATTATGGTATCCATTTGAAGCTTCTCCTAGTTTAATAGGATATTCTGATGCTGATTATGGTGGATGTAAGATTGATAGAAAGAGTACTAGTGGAACATGTCATATGTTAGGATCATCTTTAGTATCTTGACATTCTAAGAAACAAGCATGTGTTGCTTTATCCACAAATGAAGCTTAATATATTGCAACTGGTAATTATTGTGCTCAAATCTTATGGATGAAGCAGCAATTAGAAGACTATAGTATCTTTCTAAGTAATATTCCTTTAATGTGTGATAATACAAGTGCTATCAATATCACAAAGAATCATGTTATGCATTCTAGAATTAAACATATTGAGATTAGGCATCACTTTTTAAGAGATCATATATCTAAAGAAAATTGTCAAATTGAGTATATAGACACAAAACATCAGTTAGCGGATATATTTACCAAACCTCTTCTGAGGAGAATGCAGTAGATCTTTGAAGTTTTGTTCTTTTATTTTGTTTGTTCTCTTAACTTTTCATCTCTTAATCTCAGTATTGAATTATAATTTGTTTATGCTTAATAAACTGAAACTAATATCACAGTTTGCTTATTTATGTGTTAGAGATGAGATTATGTGATGTATGCAATGCTTAATTGTATAAGGATAATTTGAGGTTAATCTTCGCTTAGTTGGTTAATTTCATATTGGAATAAGGGTTAAAGCTAATTTGGGATTAATCTTCGCTTAGTTGATTAATTTTGAATTGGAATATAATTTGGGATTTATCTTTGCTTAATTTGTTAATTTCGAATTAATTTAGTAACGTAGAATAAATGACACTACATTGGAATCAGGAAATCAATTGCATTCTAGTCTATTTTTAATCCATATTTTTATAATCTGTTTTTGTTCTGGTTCATCTAATATTTTAAATCTGAAAAATCCCCCCTTTATTTCTGTTTTAATTCGAAAAATTGACAAGCTTTGATAAGAATTTGTGGTCTTTGGGAGACGACCTAGGAAAGTTTCCTAGTACTACATTTATCTTTTTTAATTATTTGACTGAGTACGACATCGATCAAGGCGATAAGGATTTTTCCTTCTTTAGTAATAGGTGTAACCATCATTGACTGAAATATGGAGGTGCTCGAACTTGGAACATCCTCTGGATTCTTGAAGATGGTTCTGACGGTGCCATCTACAGATCTTCTAAATGTCGGAGAAGAGTATAACCCTTAGTTTGTCAATGCCTGATGAGATCTTTGGAGATTTCAATGTTTACATATTGTTCTTCTAACGTAGAGGCTAGGGCACACTGCTCCATCCTGGAGGATTAGACGTATTCCTTAACATGAGGTCTTCTGGTGGAAAGATGACGAGTGATAGATCTAAGGGTAGATTTTTGTCTTCTAAAGATATTATAAGGACTAAGGAGAGGACTGTAAGTTTCAGCTATCTGAGTATCTTTTGGGACATAAGAGTATTTTATGAGGTTTTCTATCTTAGGAGAAAGAGTTTTTGAGATGTTTTTGGGAAGAGAAATGGTTGAGTTTAACAGAACAGGACCAACAGGACCAGACACTGGTTGTGGTGTTTGATTTTCCATAGTTAAAGGTTTTTCTTACTCACTTTCCACTTATAATTCTTACTATCATACCCCCTTCAGAAAAATGGTTAGAGATATTCCTGTGGATTTGAACCATGGTGAAAACCATTCAAGCAAAGTCCAGAAATGGAAATCATCCTTATAGGGGTTTATCAATATGTGATAGGCAAGCGGAATCCAAAACTACGCTAAGCTATGAAATTCGGACCCAAACTTATGTTACAAGGTGGAATAGAGGAGGAACTCCGGGTTCGCCAGTTACAAGTAGCTGATGATGCTGCAAGGGCTTCCCTTGGATTACCTGTTGCAAAGTACATTGTCACGGACACTCCGTTGAAGGTAATAAATTATCTTATTTTAATGAGCATAATGAAATTTAAACCATCCATTAACCGAGATGAATCACGTCATATGATGTAGGTAGTTGATCTCACCTAGTGAGAGAAGGCTCTATTTGTAATGAAATGAAAATCATCCATCCTGTATTTTCTGCCAATTTCCATTCACTAGACGTGTGTTTGCTTATAAAGTCTCAAAGTTTGGACTGAGTAACTAACAATTTAGTTCTTTAGCCAAAGGTTTTTTACAATAGGAGATGCATGTGAGTGTTGTTGATCTTGCTTTAGGGATATAAAGCATGTGACGTCCCACAACTTTTTTTTCCCATTTTGCTAGATTTTATTTTAATTTAATCAAACTTGTCTGTGTGACAATTTCTTATTTTGGATCTGTCAAGGATGAAACTTTTTGTGTGCTTACTTTTTAGTAGAACGAGTTCTGTGCAAGTCAGAGTTATTGGATTTGTAGCTGTCAAAACTTGGCAAGATATTCTATGTTGGGCACTAGAAAGAAAAAAGTAACATATCAGCTTTAACTGGATGAAAACCATGCTAGTTTATCTTATTGTAGTGTGTGTTGTCTTTCATTTCTCTTAGTTTTTTTTGGTCTAATTGAAATTGGAACATCTTTTAACTCATTTAGGAATGTCTAAAAAGGTATATGTGATTATTCTCGCCTCTCTGACTTGGTTATCTTTTAAGCTGGAGGTAGAAGTCTTTATGCATGTCTAGTCTATAATTTCAGACATCTATTATCATGATTTGGAGCTATATAAAATGCGGAGCCAAAGTTAAGAGTGAGCTTACCTCCCAATTTAATGCCTGAATTTGACTTGTATTGCAACAAATTTGACAAGTAGAGAAGTGGGTTGTTCCAGAAACTGGCCAATCAAATGGGAGGATTAAGCACCCTGATTCTTTACTTAGAGCAGCTAATACTTTAGTGAATAGGTCAAAAGTGAATGCCATTGCTGTTGTTGGACGTTTCCCAGATGATGAAATTGATGAAGTAGATTACTACCGGCAGGGAATGGTAATGGCAATAAATTTAGAAGAACATAATCTGATTAATTGTGCAAGTGCCATAAGATCCAATCCAAGCCCAAGCCCAAGCCCATAACGAGAAGGATCAAGACCAAGATCCAATCCAAGACTTAGGTGGACCTAAGATAAGAGACAGACTTGAAAAACACAAAAGGCATTGCAATACAAAGTGACCAATTTGCTAAAGGCCCAACTATTAAAATATCCAAACATGGAGGAGTCTAGACCTATCACATGCATAGAATGTTTGGAGAGCTAGGAGGCCCAACTAAAAGATTTAGTTTTTATTATTATTTTATTTGCTACAGGTTGGGATTTGAACCCAAGACCCAAAGCTTATAATGTCTTCATCGAACCATCTCGAGCAACTTAACTTTGCTTAGGATATTAGGATTTTAATTTATCTTTATTTCCTACAATGAGACAAACTCATAAACTTAAGTTGTATTAAACATTTGGAAATTCAGAATGAACGTACATAATATTCAGAATCACTTTGTGAGTTGTTGCTCTGCTAGGGTTCTTCCTTGCATCACTTGATCTTATCAAGAATTATTCGATTCTTGTGGCGATCCTTCTTGGCTTATCAAATATTCTTATTTGTGGCGCCTACGGTATCTTTTATGTTTTTCTGTTTTCTATTTCCAGTCAAATCAACTCTTAAAACCTAACCCTAAATTGTTTTCCTTCTATTCGAGTGTCATCATTTGGCATCGAGCAAGGTTCAAAAGCTGTATTGTTCATCGCGACCGTTCACCTAGCATCGCTTCATCGACACTCGTTCACGCATCGTTCATTGTTACTATTCATGATACTCGCTCATTTGTCATCGTTCACGTGTACTCGCTCAAAAAAATAACTTGCTGCTTATGCAATTTTGATATTGAATTTTATATATATATATATATATATATCAAAGTTGTGTTTGAAATTAGTTTTCTCAGTAAAAGAACAAAAAAGGAAAAGAACAAAAAAAAGAACAAAAAAGGAAAAGAACAAAAAAAGAGAAAAGAATCAAAAAAGGAAAAGAATCAAAAAAAGAAAAGAATCGAAAAAGGAAAAGAATCAAAAGAAGAAAAGAATCAGAAAAAAAATTATATATATATGTGGCAGCTTGTTCTTTTTTTAAATTTCAGGCACATTAGTCGTTTGATAAAATTCCTAAGTGTCACGCATCTTTGTCTAATATTTGTTTTCCCATACAGTTTAAATTTGTCTTGCTTGTTATTAGTAGTAAAATTGTTCTTTGCTACTTGTCCTTTGTTGGTACTACAATTCTGTTTTATTCCTTGTGATTGCTACAGTTGAAAGTGATTCTTGAACTATAGATTGTTTGATTCTTGTAAGAACCATAAGTCAGAGAACGAGTGAAAAAAGACAAGAGTGCATATTATACAAAAGCCAAATTGAGAGTAAACACGAGTGGTATACCTTTGAGTGCAAACACGTGAGAAGAGTGGTGAGGTCCTATTACTTCATTTGTTTGGTCCTTTCTTCTTTTTTTACTTGAAAGATGGCAGGTGCAGGTGATGGTGGTGGTACCCCTCCTCTAGGGGATGACAATAGATTATTTATTGATGCCATTACAGCCCAAATGCAAAGAATGTTGACAGAACATACCGAGGAGTTGTATGGGAGAATTAAACAACTAGAAAATCAAGGAAATGATGATGATGGTGGAGGTAGAAGGAGGAGAAGGAGAAATAATGAAGGTGATGTTAGAGATAACAGAATTGAAGGAGTAAAGTTGAACATACCCTCTTTTCAAGGAAAGAGTGATCCAGAAGCATATTTGGAGTGGGAAATAAAAATTGAGAAACTATTTGCATGCCATAATTACACAGAAGATAAAAAGATGAGGGTGGCAGCCATGGAATTCACTGATTATGCTCTCATTTGGTGGAACCAATTACAAAGAGAAAGTGTGAGATATGAAGAACCCTTGGTGGAAAGTTGGGAAGAAATGAAGAGGTTGATGAGAAGAAGATTTGTTCCTTCTCATTATCAAAGAGATCTTCACAACAAGCTCCAAAGACTCATACAAGGTAGTAGAGGTTTTGATGAATATTACAAAGAGATGGAGGTTTCCATGATTAGGGCTAATGTTATGGAGGCACGGGAGGCTACTATGACCCGATTCCTACATGGGCTAAATAGTGATATAAGGGATGTTGTGGAGCTGCAAAATTATGTTGAGTTGGAGGATTTAGTACATCAAGCTTCCAAGGTGGAACAACAATTAAAGAGAAAGGGTGTCATGAGGAGGAGTTCATCTAATTTTCACACTCCTAGTTGGAAGGACAAAAATAAGGAGGGAGGATCATCAAATCCTTGATTATTTCTCCTTCTACTATCTGTTATCTCTAACATCACCTTCATTATTTCTCCTTCTACTATCTGTATGGAAAAAACAAAGATTAGACAAAGACACTTGACACTTAGGAATTTTATCAAACAGCTAATGTGCACTGAAATTAAAAAAAAAACTGCCATATATATATATAATTTTTTTTTCTGATTCTTTTCTTTTGATTCTTTTCCTTTTTTTATTCTTTTCCTTTTTTTGTTTCTTTTCCTTTTTTTTTTGTTCCTTTCTGCAGAAAACTAATTTCAAACACAACTTTGATATATATATAAATGAAATTCAATATCAAAATTGCATAAACAACAATTTTTTTTAACAGTACACGTGAACCGAGACAATGAACAATACATGAACAAGTGACAATGAACAAGCATCGTGAACGAGTGACAATGAACAGTCCCCTCGTGAATAGTGCCGATGAACAGTGCGATGAACAGTACCGCTTTTGAACCCTGCTCTGAATACCAAATGACGACACTCAAATAGAAGGGAAACAATTTAGGGTTAGGTTTTAAGAGTTGATTTGATTAGAAATAAAAAACAGAAAAACATAAAAGATACCGTAGGCGCCACAAATAAGAATATTTGATAAGCCAAGAGGATCGCCACAAGAATCGAATAATTCTTGATAAGATCAAGTGATGCAAGGAAAAACCCTAGCAGAGCAACAACTCACAAAGTAATCTGAATATTCCGTCCGTTCATTCTGAATTCTCAAATGTTTAATACAAGTTAAGTTTATGAGTTTGTCTCATTGCAGAAAATAAAGATAAATTAAAATCCTAATATCCCAAGCAAAGTTAAGTTACCCAGATGGTTCAGTGAAAGCATTATAAGTTTTGGGTCTTGGGTTCAAATCCCCACTATAGCAAATAAAATAATAATAATAATAATAAAAACTAAATCTTTTAGTTGGGCCTCCTAGCTCTCCAAACATTCTATGCATGTGATAGGTCTAGACTCCTCCATATTTGGATCTTTTAATAGTTGGGCCTTTAGCAAATTGGTCACTTTGTATTGCAATGTCTCTTGTGCTTTTCTAAGTCTGCCTCTTGTCATAGGTCCACCTAAGTCTTGGATTGGATCTTGGTCTTGATCCTTCTCGTTATGGGTTTGGGCCTTTATGTCCACATCAGCAATTGTTAAGGCTGTGATGTTATTATACTTGTTAAGGTTCCAACATAAAACCAATTGGCAATATGTGGAGTAGCCTAACATGTATTTAAACCATACCAAATTATATGAGGTAGGCAATGTGAGACTTTTAACCCACCCCCTCCAACGAAGCCTGCCGGACCAGGCAAATGGTACTTTTGACCCAACTAAAGGGCAATTTTTGGCCCATTACAATAACCGGAAAGATGTTAGACTTTGGCTCTGATACCATGTTAAGGTTTCAACATAAAACCAATTGGCAATATGTGGAGTAGCCTAACATGTATTTAAACCATACCAAATGATATGAGGTAGGTGATGTGAGTCTTTCAACAATACTATTTTAATTCTACTCTATAATAAGTATCCCTGGAAGGATAATTTGTTATCCTATTTTAATTGCTCACAAGTGTTCTATTCTGGAGGATAGTTGATCTTACTTTTTATTGTGGTTCCATAACGGAAGTGTTTGTTTTTGTGGCATATCATTTAGAGCAGAGAATCTAGTGTGCAGCTGATGCTTGTTTTCCTCATATTTAGGAAATCTGCGCTGGTTGGATGGGATTATATAGGAGGATTAAACATGTCAATATTCTTTGATATCATGAATTGTATGTATTTTGCGACTATATTTGGTTTTACATTATGTCTATCTGACAATAATAGTAATTGGTTAGATTAATTTTCTGTCACTAATTGACTCTGGGGTGTGAAAAATCGGGGGAGGGTTGCTAATAATGTTGGGACATAGTTTTTCATGAAGAAGCTGGCTCTTACAAGGGAAAAATGAGCCCAGTTGTGCAAATGCATGGATCACTACCACTTTTTTAATCACAAAAAGCATCAAGATTTAGCCCTAAGTCTGACGTAATTTGTATGAAAATAGTTGAGATTAATATCTATCTGTTCATTGTTCAATTTTATGCTGTTATAAACTATAATGCATCAAGCTCTGAATGGATGTTCTTTTTTCCAGTTTTGACTTCCAGTGCTGAGGTACAATTCAACATACAAGGCAACACAATTGCATTTTAAAGACTAGCTATGGCAATCCAATTATTGTTCTTAATATGATTAAGGTAATTCGTCAAATAAAAGTAGTTAGTACTGAAAAAGTTAAAAAAATATCAACTTGCATGTTATTTGATTCCTTTTTTTTTTTTTTTTTTTATCTTAGCAAGGGAGCTCACTTCTGTCTCCGTCCCTGGTTCTTGCAGAAAAAGTTGATTTCTATATATTTTCCATGCTTCTACCAAATGACTTCTCATTGAATTTTAAATTTCAATCGAGCACATTTTTATCATTCATAATTACTAATCATAAATGCAAATTGCAAATAATCAAAGATGTAAAAGAAACTGCTAAACACTGCCAACAGTGGGAAGGATTACGGAATCCGCATCACTTGCCAATATGCATCCTTTTTCCAAGGATTTGTAGTCCATGACCAAGTATTGTGGGGCATTACTTAGTTAAGCACACACGGTAGGAAGGTGTACCCATTCAAATGCACAGAATCAAAAATCCCCAATTGATAATGAGAGCAAAATCGTCTTAATAATTAAATACAAGAAATGTTAAAAGGCATCCACTAGAAGTGTTTAACTTTCATTCATTTAATGGACACATCAATGTTGAAGATGAATGACATGGAAAAAAGTCCAGTAAAAAGGGGCAGGGGGAAGAATGAGTAACAGTTTATTGTCAACAGTTCAAATTTTAACGCAACCTTACTAAAAATGGCTTTATCTAACTACAAATTGGTTTTTGAGCAGGTCTAATCCATTTACCTAAACTTGCATCGTATAAGGGGATCTTCATTTTCGTTATACTTTATAACTGTCTATGATTTGTTTAAGATATAGACTTCTGAATCTTAGTTGTCATCTCTCATCAGCACAGTATAGACATAGATAAATAACAAAATTGTTGAAACCGTTTGCTCAACTAAGTACGTAATTCACTACAAATTTTAAATACTATTTGTTAGGTATAATTATCAACTTCATAATTACAAAATCTTCACTACATACACATATGTTGAGTTTAATTAAAATATACACTAAACTAAAAGATTTCAGATTCTCTTAACTGGTCAAAAAATGAATAAAAACACTAGCTTCAGAAAATTTATCATATTAGTAGCAAATTTACTCACCACAAAAATCAATTATATATATTCTGTTAAAAATTGTAAGTTTAGGGCTCCTAAACACAATACTTTAACCTAACAGTTAGTTCTAAAAGTGGAAGCTATACCGGTCTAATATAGTGGAATCAGATGTCAAATAATTTGTTATTTAGAGTTTACCAACCTCCTCAGCTACTGATTTCGGACTAAGAGATAGACTCATGGGAAGTGGAGACATTGCAGGAGCATGTGCACAAGGAATTTGGAACTCCTTCACTACTAGATGACTTATAACTGCCTCAACTCCTGCCAATAGGTCTATTCCCTAAACAAGGTAAAAAGGGGAAGCATGTCAGTAACCAAATAGAAGACTCATTCCTGAAATGAAAAAAAAAGAACAAAATCATGTTGGAATTTTGAGGACATTGATAAGATTCAGACTGAATCTTTAAAACATCAAGTTACATTTCAAGAACAAATATCACAGATATGATGAATATGAAAGAACAAAAAAAAAAAAAAAAGTCGAATAAAAGGGAAACAATTTAGGGTTAGGTTTTAAGAGTTGATTTGACTGGAAATAGAAAACATAAAAACATAAAAGATATCGTAGGCGCCACAAATAAGAATATTTGATAAGCTAAGAAGGATCGCCACAAAAATCGAATAATTCTTGATAAGATCAAGTGATGCAAGGAAGAACCCTATCAGAGCAACAACTCACAAAGTGATTATGAATATTACGTACGTTCATTCTGAATTTCCAAATGCTTATTACAACTTAAGTTTATGAGTTTGTCTCATTGTAGGAAATAAAGATAAATTAAAATCCTAATATCCCAAACAAATTTAAGTTGCTCAGATGGTTCAGTGAAGACATTATAAGCTTTAGGTCTTGGGTTCAAATCCCCACTATAGCAAATAAAATAATAATAATAATAAAAACTAAATCTTTTAGGTTGGCCTCCTAGCTCTCCAAACATTCTATGCATGTGATAGGTCTAGACTCCTCCATGTTTGGATCTTTTAATAGTTGGGCCTTTAGCAAATTGGTCACTTTGTATTGCAATGTCTCTTGTCATAGGTCCACCTAAGTCTTGGATTGGATCTTGGTCTTGATCCTTCTCGTTATGGGCTTGGGCCTTTATGTCCACATCATTCCCTCCTTCTTGGGCAACATTTGTCCTCAAATCTATGAATTCATCTCCTGCATCAAAAGGAGTCAAGTCAGCAACATTAAAAGAAGAACTTACATTATACTCTCCTGGTAGATCAATCTTATAAGCATTATCATTGATCTTCTCTAAGACTTGGAATGGCCCATCTCCTCTAGGTTGAAGTTTAGACTTTTTTTGTTTAGGAAACTTTTCCTTTCTCATGTGTACCCAAACCTAATCACCAGGTTGGAACACCACCTTTTTCCTACCCTTGTTAGCTTGCCTCGTGTAGCTCTCATTCTTCTTTTCAATTTGAGATTTTACTTGCTCATGCAATTTCTCCACATATTCTGCTTTAGCCTGTGCTTCCTTATGCTTAAACATAGAAATGTTAGGCAAAGGCAACAAATCAAGAGGAGTCAAAGGATTAAATCCATACACAATCTCAAATGGTGAACAATTAGTGGTGCTATAGATAACCCTATTATAAGCAAACTCAACATGCGGTAAACATACTTCCCAAGTCTTAAGATTTTTCTTTAAAATAGTCCTAAGCAATGTGCCCAAAGTCCTGTTGACTACCTCAGTTTGACCATCAGTTTGTGAGTGACAAGTAGTAGAAAATAATAATTTAGTACCAATCTTACTCCACAAGGTCCTCCAAAAGTGACTAAGGAATTTTGAATCCCTATCACTCACAATGCTCTTCGGCAGCCCATGTAGTCTTACTAGTTCCTTGAAAAATAAATCAGCCACATGACAAACAACATCTACCTTCTTGCAAGGTATGAAATGTGTCATCTTAGAAAATCTATCAACAACAACAAACACAGAATCCTTTCCATTCTTTGTTTTAGGCAGCCCTAAAATAAAGTCCATAGAAATGTCAGTCCAAGGATATTCAGGAACAGGTAAAGGAGTATACAACCCATGAGACTTAATCTTAGATTTAGCCATTTTACACACAATGCAGTGATCACAAAACTTATTCACATCATGTTTCATATGAGGCCAAAAGAAATGCTCTTGCAAAATTTCTAAAGTCTTTTGAACCCCAAAATGACCCATCAAACCCCCTTCATGTGATTCACTCACAAGCAACTCTCTAATGGAACACTTAGGCACACACAATTTATTTGCTTTAAACAAGAATCCATTATGCCTAAAGTAACCATTTTTAGAAAACCATTCACATGCAGCAAAAGTTTCAACAAAATCCACATCATTCACATACATATCTTTCAAATATTCAAGACCAACCAATTTAGTTTCAAGCATAAAAAGTAATGCATATCTCCTAGAAAGTGCATCAGCTACTACATTCCCTTTTCCCTTTTTATGCTTGATGACATATGGAAATTGCTCCAAGAACTCAACCCATTTGACATGCCTCTTGTTTAACTTACCTTGTCCCTTTAAGTATTTCAAAGATTCATGATCACTATGAATTACAAACTCTTTTGGTAAAAGGTAATGCTACCAAGTTTGTAAAGCACGCACTAAGGCATACAATTCCTTATCATAGGTGGGATAGTTTAGGGCACCCCCATTCAACTTCTCACTAAAATAAGCAATTGGATAACCTTCTTGTAGCAAAACACCCCAATACCCACATTAGATGCATCACATTCAATTTCAAAAGATTTTTGCAAAATTTGGTAATGCAAGGATGGGGGCATTAGATAGTTTGTGCTTAAGTTCAGAAAATGCCTTTTCTTGTTTTTCACCCCATTTAAACCCAACATGCTTTTTGACTATTTCATTAAGAGGAGCAGCCAAAGTACTAAAGTCTTTAACAAACCTCCTATAGAAACTAGCTAACCCATGAAAACTTCTCACTTCACTCACATTCTTAGGGGTAGGCCACTCTTGGATGACTCTAATCTTTTCCTCATCAACTTGCACCCCTTTAGAACTCACAACAAATCCCAAGAACACAACATGATCAGTGCAAAATGTACATTTTTCAAGATTAGCAAACATTTTTTCTTTTCTAAGCACATTCATGACAGCATGCAAATGTTCAACATGCAAATCAAAATTAGTGCTATATATCAGAATATCATCAAAATACACCACTACACATTTGCCGAAAAACTCTTTCAAGACATGATTCATCAATCTCATAAAAGTGCTTGGAGCATTAGTTAACCCAAAGGGCATAACTAGCCACTCATACAACCCATATTTAGTTTTAAAAGCTGTTTTCCACTCATCTCCTTCTCTAATTCTAATTTGATGATATCCACTTTTCAAGTCAATTTTAGAGAAGATACAAGCACCATACAATTCATCCAACAAGTCATCTAACCTAGGAATGGGATATCTATACTTTACCGTGATGTTATTGATAGCTCTACAATCTGTGCACATCCTCCAAGTTCCATCTTTCTTAGGGACTAGAATGACTGGGACTGCACATGGACTCAAGTTTTCTTTAACCCACCCCTTTTGCATTAAGTCTTCAACTTGCTTTTGAATCTCCTTGGTTTCTTGGGGATTGCTTCGATAGGCTGGTCTATTAGGCAATGAAGCTCCTGGAATAAGGTCAATTTGGTGCTCAATACCCCTAAGAGGGGGTAGACCTATAGGCACTTCTTTGGGAAAAATATCTTAAAACCTAACCCTACGGTATCTTTTATGTTTTTCTGTTTTTTATTTCTAATCAAATCAACTCTTAAAACATAACCCTAAATTGTTTCCCTTCTATTTGAGTGTCGCCAATTGCAAACCATATTTCACCCAGCAAAAAAAAAAAAAAAAAAGAGCAGAGAACTTGAAAATAAAGAGAGGGATGATCAGCTGACTTTGGCTAAAGAATCACAATAAAATGCTCCCAGATCTACACAACATTTTTAATATTTAATGCATAATAAGGACAGATCATGAGCTTAAACTCTTTTCTTAGAAAGTGTACAGCTATACACTTTACAAAGCGCAGACCACAGAAACCTAGATTTACAAGTTGTAAACAATGGGCTACAGAAAAATAAAATAAAATCCAAAACGAAGAATGAAACCTAGGTGTACAGAAAGAAGAAAGAGAAAAAGGAACTCAAGAATAATAGTTTTCCTAATCATTTAGAAAGCACATTTACCCCACAAGGAAGATGTTGAGATCCTTGTTTCAGAGAAATGAACTCGGTTAATTTCTACACTTAGTCAACTTAGGGATAAATGAAGAGATATAAGAATGCTCCATTGAAGCAGAGAGGTTATGATCTACAGATCTAGGTAGTGGAAATGCACATGAGAAAAATCAAAAGGGGAGAAAAGAAAACAGTTGTTAATGTGTATCATCAGGGTGAAATGAGAAGCAGAAAAATAAATCGTACATGAGTTCAAAAGTCAAAAGCAATGACTGAGTTGGCATCCAATAAAAGCAGTTTCAGACACAAGATATTTCAGAAACTAAGATTTCAGAACATATAGGAACATTTAAATTAGATAGGGACACAGTTGGTGAGAAACAAGGGCGAAGAATAATGAAAAAGAAAGAAAATAAACTACCAGAATTCTCTCAGGAAGAAAGAGAGGAACAAAGTAAATCTTAAAAAACTCTGCCAATAAAGGATAAACCTTATAGAGGTATCCAATGCAAAGAGAGAAGAATAAGGGACTAACGTGGTTTGTTAATCTTCCTCCATCAATCCTTCAACTGGACAAATCACAGCAAATAATTGTCAATGGTGCTAAGTACCATATAAATTGTTATACCATCCAAAAAATTCAGGTTGAAACACACAAATGTAATTCATCACTTAGAACATGATATATGCATAGAAGAATGTTTTATAACTTCCACATTGAAGCGGAACATGAGTGCAATGAATTTGAGGAAGTAGATGCTCAGACATCAAGGCTAAAGTCCATAAGAAATACAACCTTGCCCAAACAGCCTTCAAGTGATGACATTTGTTTGATTAAATTCCCCATTACCAACATATTTATGATTTCGGAAGAATCAAATCCTTAAAAAAGCCTTCATGTGATGAGATTTGTTTGATTAAACTTGACAGCTAATCACATTTAATGACTACATTTAACTAGCCCAGGAAATTCCTCCATCCTGGAATCTATCATCTTTAATTAGTGCTGTCAGGTGCTTTAATGCTTGTGAAATTTCATCACAACTAGGATGTGACATATCACCAGCAACAAATAGGTTTGTCTTTTGTCCCACTACAATCCAGCTACAGCCAGGCTTCTTTTGTATATCTTTCTGTATCATTGTTCTCCTTAAAGATCTAGCTTCATCCCAAAGTCCCGATGCAGCATACATATTCGAAAGGAGTACATATGGAGAAGAATTCTCAGGTTCTAATTTGATAAGTTGCTTAGCTGCTCTCTGTCCCCTCTTTTCATCCCCATGTATTCTGCAAGAACCCAATAAATTGGCCCAAATCATAGCATCGGGTTCAACTTCTAGTTTGTCAATGAACTCTTCAGCTTCTTTGAGAAATCCCCACCTACCGAGAAGATCAACCATGCATGCGTAGTGATCCACTCTGGGCTTAATTCCATAATAGTTTACCATGATGTCAAAATGTTGACGACCCTCATAAACCCACCCTGCATGGCTACAAGCATTAAGCACTCCAAGGAATGTGACATCATCCGGGATAATGCATGATCGAGCCATTTCATTGAAGACCTTGAGGGAACTTTCTGCATAACCATTTTTAGCAAATCCAACTATCATTGAGTTCCAAGAAATCACATCCTTTTTAATAGGCAATTCTTCAAAAACTTGAACAGCACTTTTTACATCACCACATTTTGCATACATGTCTACAAGGGCACTGCCGGTTAACTCATCTAAGTCAAAACCAGTATGGAAGATTAGAGAATGTATCGCTCTACCATCATCCAATGAGGACAAGAGAGCAGCAACTCGAAGAACAGTAACAAAAGTTGCTTGGTCAGGTAAGATATTGTTGTCACGCATTTCTCGGTACAAGTTTAAGGCCACATCACTGCACTCATTTTGAGTATGTCCTGAAATTAAAGCGGTCCACATTACGGTGCTTTTAAGGTTATAAAACTCTGAGAAAAGAATGTTTGCATCTGTAAGCCTTTGTGAGTCCATATACATGCCCAACAACGACGTTCCTAAGAATTCGCTACCACATAAGAGACCCCTCTTCACTATAGAACAGTGGATCTGCATGCCTAAAATTACCTTGGCAGAACCCTTACAAACATCTATAAGGCTTGCAAATGTAATCTCAGATGGCTTCAGTCCCAATATCTGCATCTCACGAAGAAGACTAATAGCTTCTTTTGTGTTTTTTAGAGCATATCCCGCAATCAGAGCATTCAAGGAGACCACACTCCGCTCAGGCATGCTAGAATAAATTTTACGTGCATCTTCAATGTCCCCGCGCTTGGAATACATGTCAATAAGAGAACTTCCAGCAAAAAGGTTTGTTTCTAAACCCAACTTAACTGATAAGCAATGAAATTGCTGTCCTACTTTTAGTGCCTTAGTATTTCCACATGCACTAAGTATACTCGCCAAAGATACCTCATCAGGTACAAAGCCGTCTATATTCATTCTCCGAAACAAACTGAAAGCATCAGCTTCCTCTTCCTCTTGCACATGTCCAACAATAATGGCATTCCAGGAAATATGATCCCGGAATGTCATGTGCTCAAACTGTTTCATGGCTTCTGTCAAAGCCCCAGCCTTGGCATACATATCTATCAACGCATTGTTGACACATAAATTGGAGGTAAATCTTTTCTTGATAATAGTTGAATGCAGCTGGCGACCAATTTGAAGGTATTCAAAAGATGCACATGAGCTCAAAATGCTAGTGTAGGTAAATTCATCCGGGTGAACACCACATGTTATCATATCCAAGAACAACTCCATGACATTACTTAAATAGCCATTCTGTGAATAAACTCCGAGCATGGTGTTCCAGACAATCATATTTTTGTGAGATATAGAATCAAATACTTTGCGTGCAGCATCCAGCATTTGACACTTGCCATACATATTGATCAAAGAACTTGCAACGTATATACTGGAGTTGAAACCTTGTTTGATAGCCAGGGAATGAACTAGGAACCCATGATGGAGGGCGGCTAAGCTGGCAATTGCACTTAAAACACTTGCGAGTGTGGATCTTGAGGATTTGACCCCGTGCTTATTCATTTGGTGAAAGAAGGCGAGAGCCTGCTCATAATGGCCTCTCTGGGAATGACCAGAAATCATGACATTCCAGGCGACAACATTGCGGATGGGGATGGGCATCTGTGCAAACAAGTGGCATGCATCATGCAGCTTTCCTAAAGAGGTGTAAACGTTTAAGACGGTGACAAGTGCGACTTGGTCTGGAATTGGAAAACAAGCGGGAGCAGCAGTGTCGCGCATTTTTTCAAATATGTGGAGTGCCTGGTGAGGGAAGCCAGCTTGAACATAAGCAGAGATTAAAGCGGTCCAAGAAACAGTGTGGAGATGAGGAGAGGGTGAAGCGTCAAATAGGGTGCGAGCAGAAGTGAGAGAGTGGCATTTGGCGTAGAGATGGATAAGGGCGCCCTGACAGAAGGAGGCGGATTCAAGACCCTTCTTAAGTACGCAACAGTGAACAGCCCTCCCAAACTCAACGTTCTGGAGCTTTGCGCAGGCGGAAAGAGCGATAGCGAAAGTAAACTGGTCAGGGGAATGGCCTGAATTGAGGAAGGAAGCAAAACAACGAAGGACCCTTTGAGGCAATCCATGGCTGGAGTGCATGCGAAGAAGGGAATTCCAAGTATTGCCGTTGCCGTTTCCCTGTTTCTCACACTCAACACACCAATGCCCATGATACCCTCTCCCTCTCAACAAACATTTCACTCCGACACCCACGCGCATTCATCAATTTGATTCGATCCCCTTTTTTCTCCCACATTCACCACACTTGACTTCCTTCCAATATCTCTTCATAAATTAATTGAACCGCTTTGGAACACAACCAATGAGAAATATTTTTTTAACCATTTTTTGTACAAAATCTTAAAAGCGAAATTACTTTAATAACTACTAACAAATTATTTCAACTAAATATTAATAAATACAATATAATTTTAATCTATATAAAAAATTGTTTTAGTCATTGAAGTTTTACATATGTTGATTTAAACCCCTTTTTTTTTGGATAAAATGCAAAACATTTACTGACAAAGCGGGCAATTTGTAAATATACATTATTAATTTGATTAAAGTAATCAAAAAGTTATTGATGATTTTTTTTGTATGATGACAAAATTATCTTTATCCATTTTTTTAAATTACTATTTTATGAAAAAGAATAATAAAATTTATTTGATATTTCATATTAAAATATAATTTTTTTAGTTCATATTTTATAAAAATTTAAAAATAATAAAGTAAAAAAAAAAAGATGAAAATTATCAAACAAAGAGAACTATAAATATCTTCAATGAAATGGTTCATCGATTACTTGTTCCAGGTTGATTCACGTGCTCAGCTAGAAGTTAATTCATGTGCTAATTGGTTCAATACAAAATTTAGAAAAAGCTGATTCAATAAATGACTTCAGAAAATAATCATGGAAGGCGAAATAAAGTGATGTACATTAATTAGAGGAAGACCAAATCAGCAGCAAGCTCATATTAATCTACACTAAATCACCAAAATCCGTTTAAATTAGCACTAATCACTCCCCTAACAGTAAACAAATCGTACAAAAAAAAAGAGAGGTTATAGTGTATTGAACTAACCAAGGCAAATTATAGAAAAAAAAAATGTGTTTTAATTAAAAAGAAGATATAAGACCTGACAATTGATAAGAAAACTGACATCGACTTTTGCATAAAGAAATACGAGTTAAAATAATACAGAAATAATTGTTCAAATTATACATGTAAAAATAATCATCCATCATATATTTTGTACTTCTTCCTCCCCAATTAACCATCTTGTAAGCCAGCTCGGATCATCAGCAAAGAATTTACAAGATCTGGGAATGATCCCAAGGTCAGCACCAACTTGGTCATACTCCTTTAGAGCTGCTTCCATTTCTGCCTCAACGGCGGTATCATTAACAATTTCATATGAACTCGTGCTTAAAGCATCTGCGTAGTGTTGCTCCCTCTCACAGTCATTTTGGAAAAGTTCCAAGCCCGGTCCCTGCATGCATGCCAAGGATGAAGAGGGTAAAAACTACATTTTGGAAGCAAACATGCATTCACAAGAATAACTCAACACTTCATAGTACAGATGTTATTTTATCCGCTCATTTCATATTTATTTGTTTGTCTTTATATATTTCTAGCATGTGAGTCAGACCTAGTTCGGTTTTTTTCAATACTATTATTACCTAAAACGGGAGTTCTTAGAAAACCTTGTGCGTGCGCCTGTATATTGTACAGGGCACCTGCACTGCACCATGCTTCCTACCTACACCCCATAAGTACAAGCTGAAAGACAATGGACAGCTTCCATATTAGATCGAGCGCGCTACTATGAAGGGGGTGAGACGGGGTGTTGAACGGAGTGCATCATAATTTCTTGTTCTGGGTGACGGTTGCCACTGGGTAGTGTAGTCTCTCTTCCCAGAGATATTTCTCTTTCAAAGTTTCCACAACTTTGTCGCTCATTTCCCCTGTAATCAAGGATTTTTTTCCGAGTTCTCTATATCATTTCAATAGAAGTTTAGGTTCTTATGAGAAAGATAGGATACTAATTAACCCACCAAGTACTTAAATTAAAGAAGTGGTTTGGATCCTATTATATATCAATGATAAAAGGATAAATCCATCTCGTTTTATTTTGTCCCGTCTCTAACCCACCCACCAAAAAACAGGACGAATTAACCCACAATAGTCGCAACAAATTACAAACCTCAACCCACCTTCTCAAAGGGTGAACTCACATACTAATAAAACAATCTGTCAATATTTATTTTTTATATATAAAATTTTTTATATGTATTTTTTTAAAAATACATCTTTAATTATATGAATAATTTATAAAATTTTTATTTATTAATTAATATTTTTATTAAATAAATTAAAAATTACTATAATTATGTATTAAAATGCCTAATTATTATTAATAATTTAAATTTAATTGGTTAATATTTATAATTTAAATTATAATATTATAATATACTTACATATTAATCATAATTATTTTAATTTTAATTTTAATATATAAATTATTTTAAAGCAGCTTAATAAATCAAGTCGTTCCATCCCGTCCTTTTTGTCATCTCTAATTTCACAACCGGGTTTACAGCAACCAATGATTAAGTGTTTCATTCCATAAGTCTCGATACAAAGTACTAGCATGATTAAGACTCAAGTTAAGTTCATACCTGACATAGCTCGGCATAATGTTTATATACCTCACTGTTTTCGTCTTGATCGCCTAGGAGGCTACCTCCATACCAACCATTGGCCTCATTTGCCGAGGTCATTATAAGGTACCTAAAAGATTATGAATATAAAAAGAGCATGAGCATTAAGCTGAACAAACTAAAGGCATCAGATGAGATCAAAGACTGTGGGACTGTCTACAGTGTTAATATGGCCCCGAAGGGACAACACTCGATTCTCAACAATGAAGAAAATTTAGTGGTGATTTCTGGTAGATTTGAATATAGTAGATTGCAGAGCAACACTTGATAAACTTTTAAAAGAAATATTTCATCAATCATAATTTAAACCAATTGTAGCATGGATTTATTGCATAATTGAAAATAAACAAACAGAGAATTACATGTGAACACTTAATATATTAACAACACTAGCTCAACTTAACGGATCAAATTCAGATGCACCCCAAGCTTGTTCTGGTAATCAACAGAGCTCAGGTCTGTCTAGAGCTAAAATGTCACAATGAACAATTTAAACATACAAATGGGTTTGGGGTGACCTGCACTGCAAATGTTTGGCCAATAGAAAAATAAATGGGATAATGAAAATCAAAGGAAAAATGGAAGCTGCATCAAAGTCACACAAGGATAATGAACTTTTTAGATACATACCTTTGGAAAACATCCTCTTCATTCATATCACTGCCACAGGAAAGCCAATTCAAGTCACAAAATCCAATAGCATGAGATCCTTCATCGTCAGTTTCACGAGAAGCTACTTTTGCAGCAGAGGAACCCTCTTCATACTTTCTCTGGCCGAAAAGCCAATTTGGGCTTTTGAGCTGTATTTCACTGGGGATCATCAGACAATTAGTGACTCCACAAATTACCTCAAGTTACCTAGATCACATAATAGCTTTTACATTTCACACTAGTCAGACATTATGCCCACTATTTCCCATCCAAATGAGAATCCCATGAAGGTTCTTATCTTACAGATAAGAGAGATTCTCTTCTTCGAATCACTGTACTGAAATTAACCAACAGATTAATGGCTTGCTTCTATTAGATGCTGTTCCACGTCAGTGGGAGTTGAGCAAAAGGAATTATAAACTATAAATGCTACAAGAAAGTGTGAAAAGTACATTAGGAATCCAACTTTTTGTAGTTCGTGTTAGTTAGAAGCTGAACTCAACATGCTGTGAATTGTTCACAATTACAAAATGTAGTAGGCATATGCGTAAATAAAGAAAACCATCTAGTGCACAATTAGATTTCTGAGAATTGACAGAAATTAAGTTGAAGGGGCAGAAGGTAAAACCACAGGACATATGGCACTTGAACAAATTATTTTTTAAATAATAACAGAAACACTAAAACTAAGAGAAACAGGAACTTAGAAGCAAGACATAAGAGACAATATCAGCTACTATTGTCTTAAATCAATAAGAAGAAAAGAAACAGGATCTGATTTTAAATCAAATGGCAAGAAAGTTTCTAACATTTACATACGCACACCAGAAAATCATTACAAAAAGGCATCCGTCTATAAAAGAAACAATAAATTAAGAAGTAAAAATATTAAACAGCAACTCAAAATAAAAGAAATTACGCTGCATCAGGTGCCACTCCACTGTTTCCAGAGCTCCCACCTGGTCTCCGATCAGGTTCAGAGCATAGTCTCACATTTTTAATTGTGCTACAGGTCTTTTCAATTAACTTGTCAAATGATGTCAACTTTATGCGTAAGAAGTCTTCTCTGCAAGCTGGTATCGGGTTGAACACCATTCCACCTCTTCCAAGAGGCTTGGGATTTGGTTCAGAACTGAAAAATTCAAGAAGAAATTTAGGATTGACAGGGAAAAATAAACAATAGAAAATGTATTTACATATAAAAGAAAAGTAAAAATCAATGCTGAATGTAACATATAGAAGCATGTCAGTAAAAGATTTTAATACCAGACATTCTAACAAGGAGGACTCACCACTTCTCAGGAATTAGATCATCCCCAACCCCAGATACATGGAGATAATAATCTGAATCCAGCTCCCAGAGAGCAGGTTTCCCTTCCTGTGGTTGGAAGTAACCTAAAAATCTGGCAATAGAACAATGTCTTAAATATTTAAAATATTAATTATTTATTCAAGACAGGATTAATCAAGGGCCGAGGAATAATACAAGTTTATTGCATCTTGTTTTTCACCATCTGTGTAAGCATTGCTGTAGTATCTTTTTATGGACTTCAAAAACTCTCTTGATTGTGTTGTTGCTTTCCACTTTCCCTGCCTCTCCAGAAACACCTGTCATTCTCAAAATATATTATATCAGACAAAAACAGCAGAAGATGCAACCAAGCAGATTAAATAAATTTAGAATCCCCTAAAATATGCCATACAGTATTGTGAGCTGCAGAACCACCATACTGTTGAGCGAGAGCATCCCCCATGCTTTGATACATATCCATTAGAGCTGCAGCAATACTACTATCAGGATCCACTTTTGACACATCAGTCAAACCCATTGCATGGAGCTGGCGTCCCAAAGCTTGAAGACCATATGCATACTGTGCAACATTTGTACGGTCCAAGCAATCAATGCAGTTTGTTCGGAGAACTCCACTCTGAAAATACGGTGCATCACTACTAAAATTATCTTTTTTATTCTGATGGTTCATGTCAGTCTCTCTGTCTCGATTAACCCCAGAATTTAACATATCATTACTGTTCCCAATTCTCACAAGATCTCCAGAACCAGCTCTCAGATCTCTCAGTGAAGTATCCCTATAAATTAAAGAATTAGTTGAAAAAATAAATAAAACTTTCATTCTCTAAATCAACATTTTGCACTTGTACAATTATTATAAAATTAAACTGCACTATCATTCTGTTGGGTATCAGCCCAATACGCAGACAAAGCCAGCCAAAAATTACTACACTTAGTAATAGGCTTGGGCTGTGCATTCTTACATTCTGTTCTAATTTGTTTTTCCCTAAAAAGGGCCTAGTCCAGAGCCACACAAGGTGGATGCCCTATATATGCTGTATGACTCCAAATGTAAGGAACGAAAGAATGAAAATCATTTTGCTCTTTACTTTCTCTTTTACGTTTACCCTCTGTAGGATAGCCCTAGTATGTTAGACCGTCCACAGTGCACCCTATCACATTCAGTAAAATTAAAAATCACCCAGAAATATTGCCTTCAAAACAATCCCAGCTTATCCAACTAGGTGTGATCAGCTTCCAGGCTATATGGATTGAAATTGATGTCTTCATCATTGTAAAAATAATAAATAATAATACACCAATCAGAGCATGGTCTTTCTCAATGCAGTATTTGACATTTCCATGTCTTCCTCTAACCCTTTTTAATGAATCAACTTCTGTTTGATTTGTATGAATCATCTTAAAAGCTTAACTTTAAATTCTTAGGTGAAGACACAAAACTGACTTTGCATCACATCTCTAACACACCCCTCAAGCAAAAAGCTTTTAGGACTCGAATGCACAGGACCAACTACCATGTCTTGAAATTCAACTTCTTTTTATTTGAATTGAAGAACAAGGATGACATGCATAAAATTCTAGAATACTAGACCACAATGAATCTATTAACCAATCCCAAAAAATTGAAGTTAGGTGAAGACACAAATGATTTTATATTACATCACTTCAACATTTCCCATTTTTTTCACTACAGCCTTTTCAGATGTTGTTGCCACCACAAGTGTTGTTGTTACCTTACCACCATCAAAATAAAACATTCATTGGATTATTTATGCATTTAAGATTAAATATATGGTAACAATACAATGTGTTTATTCAACGGAGACTAGGCTTAAAAAGGCCTTTAGAAGAAAGATAACAGAGATATTTTCCTGGTGGTATAATGCTATTATTTCTTGGGGGGCATTGATACGAAGACCTAATTTTCCACTGTTGTCAGCAATCATCATTGTTCATTACAGATTAAGTCAAAAAAAGTATATGAAAAAACAAGAAAAAGACTCTGTTGTATGTCATGTAACAATTTCAATGATACACCATACCTCCCTGTGCTTGATCGATTGCTCTTGTTGGCCCTCTTTATTATACTGGGTTTACCGCTGTAGTAAAAACCAGTTAAATCAAGCGCTTCACTTGCTACACCTCCTAAAACTGCCAAAACATTGGCAGACTTGCTTTGAAAATGACAGAGAAGAATAGAGAATAGTCATATTTATATAAGTTTGATTGCTAATTGAGACTAAAAGATAAATCATAGTAGGCTTACGTCTTTGCAAACTTGTGAAAGTCCCAGTGAATAAATCTAAGATGGTTCTCTACCGGTAGAATTTGGTTCAGATACCCAACAGCATTTGCAAATTCACGCCTCAGCATCATTTCCCGAGGCCTTTTCTCAACTGTCTGCATTTTATTATTTGAATGAGCTACAAGAATGCATAAATTATTTTCTTTTTTACAAAAGAAGCAATTCATTAATGCCATATTTTGTATATCATAAAATTATATTCTGTAGGGGAATCACGGCTAAAGACTATAGGGAGAAAAATCGTAGCATGCTTGGCACTGTTGACAGTGTGTTAGCAGCTTTTACATCTATGGTCCTTTGCAAGTGGAATTTATGATTAGATTGAAATTTAAATTTCCAATGCGAAGTCATTTGGTAGAAGCATGGGACATGGATACAAATCAGTTTCTCTCCAAGAGCCAGGATGGAAACAGAAGTGAGGTCCCTTGCTAAAAGAAAAAAGGAATGAATTAACATGTAAATAGAGATGTATTAACCTCTTCAGACCTAACTATTTTTATTTGAGAAATTACCTTAATCAAATTAAGAACAATAATTGGATTGCCATATCTCTTAGCAAGGTCTTCAAAATGCAATTTTGTTGCCTGGTATGTCGGATCATACCTCTGCACTGGAAGTAAAAAGGGGAAAAACGAACATGAAAAGAGAATTTGATGCATTATAGTTTATAACAGCATAAAGTTGAACAATGAACAGAATATATATTAATCTCAACTATTTTCGTACAAATTATGTCAGGTTTAGGGCTAAATCTTGATGCTTCTTGTGACCAAAAAAGTGGTATTGATCCACGCATTTGCACAACTGAACTCATTTTTCCCTTGCAAGAGCCAGCTTCTTCATCAAGGACAATCTGCTCTGTCTCAACATCATTAGCAACTCTACCCCGATCATTCACACCCCTTTTCAAGTAACTACAGATACAATTCATTACGGAGAAAATTAATCTAACCATTACAAGTATGGCCAAATAGACACAATGTAAAACCATAGTTTCAAAATACAGATAATTCATGGTATCAAGGAATATTGATGCGCTTAATCCTTGCTATTTATTCCAATTCAACCAGCACAAATCTCTTAAAAATGAAGAGAACAAGCATCAGCAAATGTTCCACCAACTGTGTACAATGGTCTCTCAGCTCTAAATGATATGCCACAAAAGTAAAAAGTTTGGTTCAGGAACCAGTATAAAACAAAATTCAACTATCCTACAGAATAGACCTAATCAAAAGAGGTATAAGATTGTTCCTAATCAACTCATTTCATTTCTGGACCTAATCAACATGACTTCAGGATAAAGAGATATAAGAATGCTCCTTTAATGCATGGAGTTTTGATGGAAAGGAATACAAGACAAATCATAAAAGAAGAAAAGAAAACAATTGTATAATGTGTATAATCAGTGTGGAATGAGAAGGAGAAAGATAAACCATTCTGGAGTTCAAGCTTCAAAGGCAATGACAGACTTGGGATGCGATAAATGCAGTCTCAAACAAGGGATATTTCAGAATAACTAATTATGCAGAACATATAGGAACATTTAAATGAGCGAGAGAGACACGCGATGGAAAACAAGAGCAAAGAATCATTAAACAGAAAGGAACGAAACTTAGAGAACTTTATCAGAAGAAAGAGAGAAATTGATATTTATTCAAGTACTTGGGAATACTTTCACAAAAGCTAGCTATTAAGGAGGAAGAACTAAACAATTCCATACTCTCCCAAGCATCCCATAGTACTCAATGTGAGACTTAAACATCCCATAATAACCAAGTTCCTATCATTGTACTGCTCAGAAAATTTTTCAATGTACTAGATAGTTCCATTAATATTAAATTACAGAGAGAGAAGAGTAATCTTACGATATTATACATTTGAAAAGAAAATCACATATGGCAACAAATTTAACATGTTACATCTAAGGATGAAATTAAAATATAATTAGAAAATCATAGAGGAATACTTATCTAATTTAAATTTTCAGAATGATTCATAACATCTAATCCATTGTAAAATAAGTGAAACATGAATCAAATATCAAAATAAGAGCTTACCGTGTCCCTGCAAAATGTCTTGATCGTCTAGAAATCAAGGACACACTGAAGTCCCTTCCAAAGATTGATAGGCGAATCTGTCATTTTTTATAAAATCTCAAATCGGTTACAAAATTACAATTGTTGTGATTAGTTAAGCTAATTGACAGGACAAAAAAATAAAGACGAGACAACAGAGCATAACTGTATGTATTAAATCCAAATATGAATATAAAGAAACTATATAATCATGTGGATATTGCAAAAAGGCAACAAAATATTGAAATGAAACCCTCAAATAGCTCTACTGAGTTGCTGCATTATCGATTATTTTCCCCTTTCCTTTTTGCTTTTTGGAACATACATCATAACCCTATAGTAGTGCTTTCCCTATTTTATCTCTAATGAAATTCATATTCGAATCTAAATTTAAAATTTCTCTTACTTGTAGGAAAGTGAAAAAGGATAAGAAATGGATTTACAGGAAAACAGCCTAATGGAATCTAAAGAAGGAATCATGTTATGAACTGAATGAAGGAACAAACGTAGTCAAGAAAGCCAATGGTCTGTTTGGTTCCATTCTTTGTGTTTTACTAATTGAAAACTATTCATAAAAATTACTTCAAAATGCTGAAAATTAAGATTTCTTAAAAATATATTAGGGTGAATTACTTTAAAAACAAGTTTTAAAGCAACAAAAAATGTTTGGATAAAAAGCTTTGTGACAATTATCATTTTTTTCAATCACCAACAACCAACCAGGTGCCTGTCTCATCAACCAATAAAATATACTGCTTGCAGACCTCACTGTTCTCTGACCACTAGGTAGTAATTATTGCATTAAGTTAAAAACATACAGGAACCAGAAATTCTATCAAATTGGTCCATACAGAAACAGGCTTTTACCAGGCCATTATAATATGATTAAGCAGTATGCCAAGCCATTGAATGCAGAAATGATTCAATGGTGGTGTGGTAAATATAGACTTTAAGATATTGATGAATGAACAGACCTGCAAAAGAAATAGAAGAATTGGAGGCAAGGACTACAGTGTATCTGCCAAGCTCATTCTCATCCAAGTGATCAAGCCAAGACAGGGAGAATGAAGGAAAACTGCTATGGCAATCTAGCAAACTACCTTTGATTGAACTTCTTAATTACAATATGCCACTGGTCATGAGCAGGAAAAAATTGAAGACAAAAAACTATGATTTGCTAATTTTAAAATGTGCATCTTGTTCTCTTGCTTTTAAAACTATACCCAGTAAACAACAATTGTAAACACTTTCTTTATTCCTTTTGAAGTTTTATTTGTTATTTTTTTCAAAAGTTTTGTGGCAACCAGATATAAACTGGCTCGAAAAGGTCCCTGCACCAGACCTTCCTCTCTCTCTCTCTCTCATTGCTTTTAACAATTATTATTTAACATATATTCTCAAGCTTAACTTTTATTGTTTAAAAAAGCACAATTTGGAGCACTAGATATATTGGTATTGTTGAGCTTTTACCACTTTTTGAACAATAAAGTGGAGCACTCGTTAAAAAATTAACTTTTATCTTTGTTAATTAGTGGAGCACTTTTGATAGTTAGTAAAAAGTGTAAGATAAAAACAATTAAAATTAGGACAAGAAAGAAAATTTTATTAAGAAGCACTATATGCTTAAAGCGTGGATTTTCTCGCTTAAGAAAGCACAATTTGGAGAAAAGATATGAAGAATGACCTTTGCTTAATCATGGCTTTTTGCTTGCACCATTGACAAATGAAGGAAGCTTCACTCTCCCTTGCTCCAATGACAAACTTAATATTGAATAGGCTTTGTTAAACTTGGGAGCAAGCATAAATTGGATATATTGGAGATGTAAAAGTAAAGCATACTTGGAAGGTCTTACAACTTGTTCATCACTTTAAGAAGTACCACCATGGTATTATTGATGATGTCTTGGTCAAGGTGGACAAATTTACTTTTCCATTTTGGTGATGGACAGTAAAGATGCCTTATGAAGTCCCCTTAATCTTAGATAAGTCATTTACAAAGACAGTGCAACCGATAATTGATTTTGATACTAGTCAACTTATTAGAGTTCAAGATGAAGAAATCACTTTCAAAAATTCAAATATCCTAACTCACAATTGTTGAGAAAAGATTTTTTATAGGGTAAAGGGTGAATGCTCTTAATGGTGCGATTGATATGCATCATAATTATCCACCTCAAAGATTCTTGATATAATATTCCTATCAAGCTAATGACATTAAACAAAAGCTTGTCGGAAGGCAACTCAAATCTAACCAAGTGAGTTGAGTGATTTGAAATTCAAAATTCTGATTACTTGCATTGATTGTTAAAATGATTTTCCTTCAATCTCTTTAGTTTCATGATTACATATTTAGTGTGAGGAAAGGATCAAGACATTGTTTATTTTAAATGTCAACCCAACATGAATTATCCTTTGTTACCCAATAGAGCCAAACAGAAAATTTTGTTTTAGAACCTTTGAGCCTAATGAAAAACAAATGTTTTCCACACCTTAGGGAGTAAGAGAGCATATGTGACTTCCAATAGTAATAGTTCTAAGTTTTGGCTAGGTGTTTATGACACCCACCAAAGAGGGGAAAATCCTAGGTATCTCAAAAAGTGGTAAAAGCTCAACAATACCAATATATCTAGTTAAAAAAGCATAAAATAAAATTATTATAGTTCAAAGCAATTTGAAAGAATATAAAAGCTAGCTAAGGCAAGAATACACACATGAAGTGTGGTTTGAAAAAAACAATTAGATATAAGAACACAAATGCTATCTTGTTTCCCAAGTGGTGTATTTAGTATCCAATAAACCCGTGTTATTCTATAATAGTGAAGTTCAGATAATGTTCATCTTGCTCTACTAGCTGGTATTCTATGAATAATTGTAAATTTATCATGGATCTTTAATGAAAATGCATGTAAGTTTACATTTGACAAGCAACAAAGTATCATGAAAGATAGATGGCGGAAAGGAAGTAACATACCTGCCTAAAATGACCATGAACTAAAGCTATGGTCCAAATAGTGTTATCGCATCTTGATCTGATTGCTTGTGTCAAATAGGCATTCCAAACAAATATACTATCATAAGACATCCCTCCATTTTCGTTTGAAGAGACGTTCTTTTGCAAACTTTGCATTATAGGATAAGTGTAACTAAAGAAAAAATCCTTGGTCAAATCGACACTAGACAAAAGCTTTTTGTACCTGTAATAAGAACAAGTGATGGTAAGAAACAGATGTTGTTAGATGTGGTAAAAGTTGTGGAATGGTTATCTACCTGAGCTCAGTCTTAGAGTGAGCTAAATCAGATTGTATTGAAATATGTGGAATAGTTATCAATTGGCTTTCCTTGATGCTATAGATTGCGTGACCACAAATTGAACCAATTTGTCTACGCTTAGTAACGAGAATCAAGTAGTACGACTCGAGAAACTTGATGCAGCCTGGAATTGATTAATATACACATATAAACATGCAGATACACATGATAAAAGAGAAAGAGAGAACTACGAACCAGCAATCCCGAAAACCTTAGCCACGAAAGTGAGGCCGCCAGTGGCTCTGTTACCCTCAGCAATCCGCTGAAGCAAGCTCTTGATTTCCTGGGACGAATACAGGACGGGGTCTTGGCTGATATTCAGATCCGACGGCTCTGACCGATCGATTTTCAACACCCGGAAGAACCTCTTGTTCCGATCACTTCCAATCAGGTAAAACCTCTGCAGTTCTTTAATTAGTCGTGTAAAACATTATCGCGTGATGAAGGAATGAATGAATTAAGAATTACCGCTCTGGTTTCGTAGAGTCTGAACTTCTCGAGGGCGTAAGAGTCGGGATCCAGTTCGGGATCCACGGAAGGGTGAACCTTTGCAGAGGCAGAGACAGAGGTTGATCCAGATTTCGCCATTTTCCCGCTATACGCTATCAATTCCAATTCCCATTCTCAACTTCAAATCCCTTCCATTTCATTGCACGGGTTAATATAAATGATGTCATGATTCGAATTGGTTAATTAGAACTTGTGTTGAATTCTAATGATTTTTTTTTCAAAGGGTTTGTGAATGATAAAGATTAACATGATGTCATAATTGATATTATTGATTATAAAATTAAAATGTAATTTATATATTTAAAAGTATTAGTATATGGTACTTTGAATGATATATAATATTCGATGTTTAATTTAAGATAATATAAATCGTGACATAAAAGAAAAAAATAATTATATTTGCATATAAAAAAAGTGATGCTCTCATCGGTTTTTTTAAGGAACATTGTATGAAGGAATATTTATGAAAAAAAAATTTAAGTAATTAATAAAAGAGTCGTTATTATAATTTATTAAATAATATATTAAAAAACTTATGAAAATGGTCATTGGAATTAATTTTGATTTGGGAAATTATTTATAAGTCGTAACACTTTTAATTATGATTATTTCAAATTGAATGTGTACAATAAAAGTAATTTTAAAAATACTTATTTTATTTCGTCAAAATATATATACTGGAGACCGATCATATTTCTCTTATTTTCATTTATGATTAAAAATCAAAGTTATGTAATTTTAAAAAAATGTTCAAAGTAGATATTTTGCTTAGTTTTAAAATTTTAATATTTAATAATTTAATAAAATTAATATATTTTTAATTATTTTCAATCTTCAATGTAAACAACTCTGTACATGGTATCAGCAGAAAATATATTAAAATTAAAGTTAATATAATATAAATTATGCATGAACACTATAAAAGATTATGTGAATTTTAATTCATTGTCTTTTAAAATGAATTTTTCATTATTTGCATGTTATTTTAACATTCATTTAAAATAATTAGACACTAATTATTCGATGAGACATGCAATTACATATTCATTTAACATAAATTTTTAATATATAAAAGATCTATAACCTACATATTTGCATAAAAAAATTAAGCCTTTTAAATAAAAAATTTTATTTTTTATTTATTATAAAATACAATTATAAGCATATATATTATGTTTCAAGCATCATGTATATTTATATTTAGTATAAAAAAAGAATTATATATATAACAATCATTTAATATGTAATATATATTTTACATTTAATATAATATGTTGTCATAAACAATTATAATTTATTTATAAAAAAATCTTATTTTCATATCCAAAAGCACGATTAGGTATGAGAATCACTAATTTTAAGGTTTAGTTCAAAACTTTTAGGTTGCTGCATGCCTCTAATTTCACCTGCATTCTCTCCTAATTAAATTTTATTGTTATACTTATGTTTATTCTTGTAATGTAATGTGGATTAATATTTTTGGAAAGATATTTTAGAACATTCACTAAAATATGTTATCATAATAGTATTTTTAGAAATATAATATTAAACCCTTAATCCAAAATATATTTTTGAAAACGTATTCTGACACACCTTTCAAAATGAAATATTTGTTACTTGGTTAATGAAATTTAATCTCATTTTTATTATATTATTTTATATTAAATAATTTAAATTTATTTTTATAATTTAAATTTATAACATATAATTCATATATAATATTAATGATTAAATTTATAACATATAATTTATATATAATATTAATGATTATTTATTTTTAATAATTAAAAAAAACTCTTAATAAAGATGAATGGAAAAAAAAATCAAATAACAAAGTTATTGTGAACAAAAGAAACTCTCGAAACTCCGAAATGCTTCGGAGGGTTCTAGGAAGAGCATTTGAAGAAGTTGTAGAAGGGAAAGTGGAAGAACTGTGTGAAATGAGGGGGGAAGCGCTGCTATTTATAGGGATTCGCGTCTGTCAGGTCGAGACGGCCGTCTCGCCATTCGGGACGGCCGTCTCGCCTTGCAAAAATGGCGAGAAGGTCGTCTCGCCAAACGAGAAGGGGGTCTCGCCATTCACAAGTGGCGAGACGGTCGTCTCACCAAACGAGACGGCGGTCTCGACTTGCAGCAATGGCGAGACGGCGGTCTCGATCCCTGAAGGCAAAAATCCTTATTTTAATGCAGAAAATTCTTCCTTTCCTAGTATAGGGCCTAATAGTCTCTCTTAATGGCTTCTTAGGTTTCATCCATCTTCGAAAAGGAGGTCTTCTGGTCTTATTATAAGACTGGCCAAGATTAGGGGTCTACAGCTACCCCCCTTTACCCGACTAGTCGACTGCTGGCTCGTTGTGCCAAGAAGATTGACTGGAGGGTAAAGGAGTTTACCCTCCTGCCCGGTTGCCCTTTAGAGGTCTTGTCTTTGCGGCGGTTGATCTTCTGGGGAAAAGTACGTTGTGCACTTCCAGGATGCTCCTTCTGACGGTATTTGATCCTTTCGGCTGATGAGTATGAACTCCCATCTAGTTTGACGAGTATAAACCCTCGTCTGGTAAGCCCCCTTTTGTAAGGCCTGATGAGTATACACCCCCATCTGGTGTCTGACGAGTATGAACCCCCGTCCGGTAAGCCCCCTTTTGTAAGGCTTGATGAGTATACACCCCCATCTGGTGTTGTGCCTCCGGATGCTCCTTCTTGCGGTAGCTGACCCTTTGGTTGTGGTGGCCGCTTACTGCTCTAGCTCATGCGCCGTGTGTTGAGATACGTTCTCTTGCTCTTTGATATCTGTTTTTGACTTTTCTAGGATAGTCATCTGATTTCTGCCGGGGATTATTTCGACCCTTCCGGTGGTTATCTAGCTTGTTGATTGCTGGAGATTCTTTGTTTTGATCATTTGGTAGTGGTCATCCGACTTTGCTGGTTGTCGGGGATTTTTTATGAGTGCCTCTTAGGTAGGTAGGAATCCTGTGAGGATTTGTTGATCTTGGTGACGCCTCTTGAGTAGGCAAATATCCATTGAAAATTTGCTGATTTTGATAGTGCTTCTGAGCAGGCAGATACTCCATTGAGTTTCTGGTAATGCCTCTGAGTAGGCAGATGCTTCATCGGAAGTGAAGACTTTTGGCTGCATTTGTTTTGCCTCTGACTAGGCTGATATTCCCTTATGGGGATGTTGACTCTTGTTTGCCAGGTCTTGCCTATGCGTAGGCGAATGACATTCTGAGGATGAATCTGAAGTTTTTCCTTTGCAGTAGGCTCACTGGGGATGATCTTTCTTTTTGTTTGATCCACCGGGGAATTGGTTGACTTCCCGGGGGTTAGATTTTGGTTTGCCCCTTGGAGTTTTGACTCCTTGTTAGGTACTGGTGTGAGTTGGTTCTGCAATGCTCTTATTTCATTGGATATTTTGTTTACCTAAAAGTTAGGATTTTAATTTCGCCTTTTTTCGCGATTTATCTCTTTTTTATCGCGATTTTGAAATCTGGCTTTTTTATGGGGATAATGCGTGCGCCTTTTTACTTTTTAGTTTCTTTTATACATGCAGGCATTTTCTTCTTTTTGGGGATTGATGAGTCATTATATTCCCGTATTTTCTTCCCTTTCTGAACTTATTTTAATTAGTGTTTTGGGCTTAACTTTCTATTATTAGTGAATTTTTATTAATTGGGTTTCATTGTGCCAATAATTAGATTTTAATTAATTTAAATCTATTTGATCTAATTTTTTCTCATTATTAATTTTTAGGACAGTTAAAGCAATTTTGGGCCTAGAAGATTGGGCTAGATGCCATTTTACGGTTTAAAGCAATTTTGGGCTTGGAAAATTGGGTCAAATGTCATATTTTATTCTATACGGGTACTAACATTAGTTCACTGTTTTATTTATTATTTTTTCTACAGATCTCCAAAAATCATTATTTTCAAATCATTATAAACTAGACACATTCAGCTTTCCATAGGATCCAAAATCATTCAATTCGGAGATAAATTGGATTTTACATAAATTATCCAACGCGGGTCAAGCGCACCAGGGCGGCCCAATGGACATGCTTCAGTAATTTAAGTCTCCTAAATTCATTAGACCTCCAAAAATAGTATCAATGGTGGCGTTTTAAAGCTAACTCAAAAGGCTTTCAAAGGATACCAAAATCGCTTAATTTGGATAAGTATCGAAAATACTGCACGTGTTTGAAGTTCACGGACCTGCACTAAAGCCAACTTATGATGTGTTTCATGGACCAGTTGAGCCCAAACCTCAATAAAGATTAGGGTTAGGGTTATTTATATAAGAGAGGCACATCACACATGGGAAGAGAGAGATCACACAAGGACTACGCAGCCACCACACTTCCACCTTTCATCTTCTGCAATTTATATTCAAGTTTGTTTACTCTTCTGTCTATTTTTAAATTCTTGTTTCAATTTTAATTATGTTTCTTCTATTGCGTTTTCAACTTTCCATGGATAGCTAAATATTTGTATTGATTTTCTGAGAAGAATGCAAGTAGATCTTTGAGGTTTTTTTCTTCAATTTCATATTGTTTGTTCTCTTAACTCTTCATCTTCTAATCTCAGTATTGAATTATAATCTGTTTATGCTTAATAAACCGAAACTTATATCACAGTTTGCTTAATTCTGTGTTAGATATGAGATTATGTGATGTATGCAATGCTTAATTGTATAAGGATAATTTGGGGTTAATCTTCGCTTAGTTGGTTAATTTCATGTTGGAATAAGGGTTAAGGAAAATTTGGGATTAATCTTCGCTTAGTTGGTTAATTTCATATTGGAACAAGGGTTAAAGCTAATTTGAGATTAATCTTCGCTTAGTTGATTAATTTTGAATTAGAATATAATTTGGAATTTATCTTCGCTTAGTTGGTTAATTTCGAATTAATTTCGTAATCTAGGATAAGTGACACTGCATTAGAATTAGGAAATCAATTGCATTTTAATCTGTTTTTAATCCGCATTTTTATAATCTGCTTTTGTTCTGTTTCATCTAATATTTTAATTTTGAAAAAACTCCCCTTTTAATTTTTTGTTACTAAAAATTGATAAGCTTTGATAGAAAT